AAAATTAGGGGCATGAAGTGTGATTATTTCTATTTTTTTGTCTTCCTTTTTTTTTTTTCCTTAGGCCTTTATCACAGCCCTCAGGCCCTTCATTAGACTTACCAGTAAAATGGTGCATTTCGTAGTGAGCACCATTGTTGCACAGCGCTTGAGCTCAATAGATTTATGCAGAACTCTGTAACTTTGTGGTACCTGTCTCTGTAACAAAGCCCAAAGGGAAGCAAACAGAGATCTCTAGCATATTCTGTTCCCTAGAATTAATTCCAAAGCCTGTGACAAAGACCACTAATTTGTAATGTCTCTGGCCATACTTCATATGACCTTGGCGGATGCCTTCCTGGGTACATTTACGTGTACACGTGTATGTGAGCAAATATTTATGTGTCTGCGTAGTGCCTATGTGTGGGTGCAGAACAACCCTCTCTTTTCTTAAAACTGCCTCACAGAATTGATCAAAACTGAAAGTTGTAGCAAGTAAATGGCCACATTTCAAATTCATCTTAAATTAGTAATGCATCTTGTCTCTCACTTGAATGAGCCTATACTGAGTTACGAGTCTTGTAAATATGTGCCTTGACAGGGCAGAAGAATCCTGCACGTATTCTCTTGGGCTGTTTTCCACTCATAACGTGTGGGCATTGATAGGGAATGTTCTCAATATTTTAAATGAAAATACCTTAAAATAACCAAAAGAAATCTGGATGGTTTAAAGCAACTGTTAAAAACAGAAGTATCACTTTTGTCTCTCTCTTTTAAGCTGAAAAAAGAAATTATTTAAAAAAAGGAATTTACTTGAATAAAGCGTTTCCCTGCACTAGCTGTGGAGTGCCGTACAACTAGTTGTACAGCACTTTTTACTGGAGAACTGGAAAACGTTTTAGGGAACACAAGACCTCTGTGACTCGAAGCTGTTACCTCCACTTCAGATGAAGGAGATGGAGAAGTGATCTCCTACAGACTGCGAAGCAAAACTGTCACAGACTTCCTCTTAATATGTAAAAATGATGCATGGAAGTTCTTAGTGCTGCCATGTTTTATATCATGTGACTGGATGGCCAATATGCAAAGTGAACAGGAAGGAAATTTAACGATGTATAGTATTGTTGATATTTTTTATTAAAAAAACCCCCAACTATTAAAATAATTCAACTCTGTTCCTCTCACGAAGCTTAAACTCTTTTCTGAGAACTGTGCTGATACCAGCTGTATGTTGCTTTATTTTTCCAAGTACACGATCAGAAGTGCCCCCATGGGAAGTTGATGATTACCATCGTACAGTCGCTTTAAAACAAGCAAAACACGTCCAAAAATAAATCGGATCTTTCCAGCTCCTCTTGAGTATTTGTATGGAGTGATTTCCTTCCCATGCATCACTTCCACCTCCGCAAAAGAGCTCCTAGGCCTTTGCAGGGTTTTTTTGATCAGACTGGCCACCATGAAAGCGTACATCTCTCCTAGCAGTAGCTGTGCCGCTTTTGCATTAGGCTTCTGAGAATAAGCTACTCGAAAATTAAGTGGCTGCTGTCTTTACTATGACAGTGCATGGGATAAACACCTACAACTCTTGTAAGGGGAAATGTCTTGTTGCAATGTACGGCTTGTGCAACCACCGGGAGTGGTGGCCAAGAGCAAAATCTTCCTGTTTGCTGAGGGTGTAAAGAGCATGTCAGTAGCGTGTTGGATAATGCCAGCTTGCTCCTTTTGAAATGTGCTCCTCGTGTGAGGAAGAAGCTTCATCTCTTTTAATATTGTTTGGAACCAAACACCAAAAAAGTACCGAAATTAGGGGCCCAGAGATCCTACAGTCTATCCCCAGTGGAGATCTGAATTGCTCTGTGGAGGTGCCTCTCTCCGTCGGTCGCAGAGGTAGCCGAGGGCAAGCCAGCTCCTAAACGAAGTGCTTCAACAAAGTGCCTGCGATTAAACGTGACAAACTCGGTCTTTGGAGGTGCGTTCTGCGAGGGGGAGTGGACTGGGTGCCACCCAGCCGTGCTGCTGTGCAGCCCGTGCTTGGTGCAGTTGTTTTCCTCTTTTCTTAGCGTATCGAGTGTTGTTAATTTGTTTCTTGATAGCTAATGATTTTTTTATTTTCCCTCCCCTTTTGAAGAAATTACTGGAAAAACCGTCAGATTTTTTTAAGCCATTTGCAAAACGTAAGGAAACGCTCATGGTAGAGCTTAATCACGTTATACGAGATTGTTACTCTAAAAGGCAAACTATTTTAGTTATATTGTGTTATTGTGCCATTAGTACCATTTGACTGCCAACTGTGCAGCAGCGGGGCTCCAATCAACAGGAGCCTTTGTGTGTTTTCCATTGCAAATAGTGCCGAGGATAGGAGGGAGAGAGGCTCTTAGTGGTACAATTTTTTCAGTGATTAAAAATACTTGAGATCCATTTCAGTGATCAGAAATGTGTCTTAATGAGACAATTAGTCAAACCGTAAAAGCTGCACAGCAATTTAGTTGGCGTTACTACTGGAATAATTTGCTGCTGCTGTTTTCTTCCTCCTGATTTGACTTTATCACAATAGTCTGGATGAAAGTCACTGTAGAGAGGACTTGCAGGCTAGGTTCAGTTCTCAAATGGCCATGATTATCTCTGGGGCAGATAATCCCCTTAAAAATGAGGGAGACTTTGAGGGAAAAAAAGTAGTTATTTCGCATATAAAAAAATCAAATGCCTTTGTCCAAGTGGCTACTACAGTGCCTTCAAATATCCAGCTGCCTGCTAGTGCCATGGCAACTGATCGCAGGTGGTGTTTGGGGGACGGGTACCAAACTGAAAGGGCTACTTGAAATTTGTATTTATTTTTCCCTTCTGTAACAAAAGCACAATAATGGGGCCTGAGATCTCTTTATGCATTCTAGCCAGCTGTGTTCAAAGTGTCTGATGGAGCTAATTTTTTATCTCGCTGGACGATATCTCACCGTCATATTAAAAATCTTTTCTCATCTGTCTCTGGTCTTTCACAATTTGGTCATAATACTGCTCTAAAGCAAAGTCAGAGCAGTTGTTCTCAATCCATACTTGTCTTGAAGTTTGCTGCATCTCTTTCAGACCTGAAGCCTTGTGTTCCTCAAAGCTTGTTTGTATTTATTCCAGCCGAACGCGTTGATCTATTAAGGCTTAAAATCTCCCTAAAAAACTGCTGGCATTCTAACTTGGAGGTATGTCAGAAACGTCCTCAGCGTGATGTTACAGAGGGCACTGAACACAGCAAAACTAAAACTTTTTTTAAAAAATAAACTAGTCACACTGGTGAGTTCATCTGCCTGGAGCGTTTCCATTGATGTTCACGGCATTCCATGCCCAAGAGGTCTGGGGAGTTTAGTCTTCTATTTTTGGGAGCCAATTCTGCCCAGAACTAACATTATTTAAATTAACTTAATGTTTAAGTCCAATTAATTTGCATTTACCTAAGAGGCCAATAAACAATTTACTGCCAGAGCAGAAAGCCATTTGTTGGTGTCCCACCGACAAATGCAGTAGGGCGGGTTTTTTTAAAGCCCCTCTCTGTGCCGAGGGCTGCACTGGAGCTGGAGGCTGGGGTCGGGTTGTGGTGCAGGACAGCCTGCTCTGCAGTTAGAGGTCAGGGTCACGGCGAGGCGTGGGCTAACTCGCTGCTGCCCAGGGCAGAACGAGAGCGGGGCAGATGCCGAATCCCCAGGCTGCTGGCTGTGTGAATGTCTGCTGCAGAAAGTGCCTTCGTTATCTGTGCCAAGCTTAATTGTGCTGATCTTCTCGATATGGTTCAGTCTGAATGTTTTCACTTTCTGATCTTGTTATATCAGAGTTGTAGAAAGCAAAAATGTTTCAGTCTTCTAAAGGGACAATATAGTTTCTGCTTCACTCGCCTTTTAACTATGAGTATTTATTTTCTCACTAAAGAATATTGTTTTAATGTCTCTGTCACCTATAGGTCATTGGTAAGGGGAGTGTATTTGGGCATAGCGATAGTGTTATTTTGATAACGCTTTTGTGTTGGATCGGTATCACCATAAATGTGGTTTGGTTATTTGTAACTACAGCCATCTCCCTGCAGGTTACAGCTGGTAGGAGATACCGAGTGATCGGATTTCTTTGTCTTTTGGTTTTATGCTGGGCAGCCTGTCTCTCCTGCAGCCGCACTAGAAACTGCAGCTTTGCTGCCTAGTGCTCCTGAGCCGCAACAAATGCTGGGTTTCTCTGTTCACACCCCTCTGTTAGGATGCAAAGACGAACCACTTCTTTCTTTCATAACTAATTATGGGCCAAACTGAAAATTGCTCAGGGTACCAGCCTTCTGGCATATGATTATTTGCAAACTGCTGGATTTACCTGAGTCAGAAGTGTTTTAAACTGCAGTTGAGGTTGAGAGTATACGTTGACAAATCAGAAGCAAAAGAGAAGCTTCATACTCTAGTTATTGGGGGGCAAAAATAGAGAGGAAAAGGCAGCATGACTTTTGAGATACCTGGGATATCAGTTGTGGTAACACCCAGTCAGCTTTAATCCTGTCCTTACGGCTGTGCCAACTTCTTTCTCTCTGTGCCTTTGGGCTGTGTCTAATGGTGCACGAATGTCCTCCGGAACGCTTGTGGCCAAGAGAAGAGCGGAACTGGCGCATCTGTATGAATATGTATGGGTTGATCATCAGCTATGAATGACTTTGAAATTATTATCTTTAACATAGGAAGCTTTCTAAAAGTTGAAGGAATGAAAGATATCCAGGAGTTTCATTCTTCTTTTAATTAAAATCAAATTATTAGAACTACATGCAAGTCTCAGTTCTCCATGAACTTGTGATATTCAAGGTGGTAACATATGACTGGTTCTGGAAAAGGCAGTATATTCTTATTTGGTTGACACATGGGTGTAACAAGTAAGATTATCTAGAGCTTCAGTACGAGACCTAGAAGTGTAAAGAACCAAGTGTATCCTGACATTTCTATTACCTTTGTAATGCAAGTAAATTGCCTGACAGAAAAGCAAGGTAAAAGGGAATGGGTCCCTGTAAATCAGTAAGCATTTAACACTGCTTTTCTGGCTTCTTCACAAAGTGGATCCAACTTGCCATCACCTCCTAAAGGAGAAAACCACAACTTACAAAGTATATGCAAGTAAATTTATTCTTATTTTACATTTCTACTTCTTATGCTAGCATCTATATTCCTTTGCATTCTTCCTCACGGTACTCGGACTCAGCTTGGCTCTACCCTGGTTAGCTGTATCACCTGAGACTGACTCAGCTTTGATCTGGAGTGGAAACAGAGCAAAAAGTGAATGCAGCAGTGCAGGTGGTTCAGCAGACAGTAGCGTGGCCTATTAGCCAGCGCGGTCTAGTGTAGGTCTAGGATTGGGACAAAAAAAAGATGTATTTTGTTGGAAGAAATTTCCAACGGGAACCTCCCAGTTCCTGGCCTGTCTGCCTTCCTTGCAGGGAGGTGAAACCAACCAAGCTGCGGTGCTGGAAATGCCGTTATCCTTGGTCTGCTTTTGCTCCACAACTCCCATCCCCAGCCCTAGAGAGGCTGTTGACAAGTGGGGAGGTGAGAAGCAGTGGCTTTCAGCCTTTCTCTGGAAGCCACTTGCACAGGAGATGAGAAAACTTGAGCCCTGAACTCCTTGTCTCAGCTGCAGCAAAAAGTGATTAAAAAATTCCTCTCTGCGAGGCGCTGAAATGGTATTATCTATGTTTTGCTGGGGGGGAGGAGGGGAAGACCAAAAACCCAAAGACGCTAAGGCCCAAGCAAAGAAAAATATTTGCTATTTTGAAAGCAAAAGGATGTCCTAATACCTCTGTGGACTGAAACCTAGCAGGTTTTCTTGTGATTGCGTGCTGGTGCGTGCGGGAAGGCCCCGAACGGTGCTCTCCCAAACATGGCCTTAACTCCCAAACCATCCTCTCTTCCTGACCGTGCCCTTCAAACTGCCTCAAATAGAAAGGAGTGCAGAGCTTAAAAGTGTTAACGTCGACAGAACCTGGACTGTTTATGCCTCAGGAAGCGCTCTTTTCAAAATGTAAGTGCTTTCAGTGAGAGACTGCGATGAATAGAACTCTGTACTTACCAAAATCCAGGTCATCGATGTTGCAGCGAACCCCCCGTTGACCACCAGCTCTACAGCGTTCCAGCCTGGTATCCCTTCCAGAATAAGTTGATGTCCGTCTGCCTGCAGGACAGCTGGAAAAAGACAAAGAAGCAGTGGCCAGTGCTGTATTTGCTTGGTTTCCTGTGAACTCCGAGTATATCTAAGTTTCAGCACTTAGGAGAGCAAGGAGCAAAAACCGGTGTTAATGTAGTTAAGTGCTGTACTAAACTCCCCACAAATCCTATCAGCTTTAATCTCTTGCTTCACTATTATTACATTAATGGATCTCCTTTGAATGAAGCCTCCACCCTCTGTCATTTCTAGTTCTAGCGGTAAAAGGCAAGAAATTCATTATGTACTTGTATTTGCTATTAACTGGCACAGCAGCTGTAAGAAATGCAATGCATTTATTTGTAAGTACCATGGAATAAGACTAAATTCAAAAGCAATCTCCAATAAACGTTAAGATGGTGCTACAGAACAGCTGGAACATTAAGTGAACAACCTTGATAACCCAATTGTTCATTGACGCATAATTCATTTCGCTTCTGCTGAAAGAGCGATTCCTCAGGCCGTTAAAGACTTGAGATTTTGTGAAGCTTGAGAATCAAACCAGAAGGGACAAAATCCTCTCTCGACCCACGTATTTGTTTTGATGAATTAGGTGCTCTTTGGGTTTATTACGGTACGTTGTATAGTGTTGTTGCAAATTAATCAGAACGGGGGAAATAAGAGAGCTGGCTGATAGTGCAATTCCAGCAACAACAGAAATGCCACGTGCTTCTGCCTGGGCCCCCACAGATTTAAATTTGTTCTAATTAATCTTATTCTTTTGACTTGTTTTACAAGGCGGAAGCAGATTCCTGTATAGTCAAACATTCAGGGTCTCACCTTTCCAGGTTTTTATCAGCTGTGTGTTAAGGCTGAGACAGCGTACTGACCAGTACACATCGGTTATTTTGGCCGGTAGAGGTACCGCTTCCTCTATCCCGGTTCCGCTGCAGCGGGATGACTTGCAAGGGTCGGTGTTTCTCAAACGTTTAACCTAACTGCATCCATCTGTGACAGCTGTTTGCAGCATTTTAATTCCACTTGTTGAAAAACTGCAGAAAATGGCTGAGGAAGGAGTCTGGTTCACAAAGCAGCATGCTTTCAGCCTCTGCGGCTGTTCTGTCATCCTCGCCAGAGAGCTCGCACTGCTTTCTAGGAAACTTGAACGGCAATCTCCGACAACTAATTCGCATTTATAAAACGGATGAGAGAGGTGACATCTCTACACTGTTGGCTCTAAAGAAAAAAAATAATTAAAAAAAAAAAAAATACTGGTTTCCCTAGGCTGGGGCCTGGTCTCTCTCGGTCCATGTCAGGTACATCGCAATGATCCAGCAGCCCCAGTAAGAGCATTTGAATGAGTTGCCAGTAGCCCCTCTATCGCGTTAACTCACGCGCTTTGTAAGTTTCCAGTGTCAACCAAATACTGATTTGTCCCATATTGAGTTTATCTTTCTTTTTTGTTGCATCTATGTGGCCTAAAGCCTTTATAATCACAAAACTTGACTTATTTGAATACATTAGATAACACATACAATTTGATTTATCTTGCAACTTTAGATGGATTTTGCTAGGCAGAAATTTGTATTATGTATCCTCTTGCTGCTGTAAAGCATTAGAATGGAGAAAAACTGTTGCTCGTTCCCTAACAAACAGAATTCCTGATGAATGGGGGGAAAAAAGCTACATCTTCTTCTGTGGGCGGTATGTCACTGCAACCTTAGGTGTGGGTGGTAAACTTCTGCGGTGCCAGCTAACTCTGTAATACCCCGGAGCACGGCTCCTCTGTTAGATCTGTAGCGAGGCCATTTCAAGCCCCGCAGCAACGCTGTGAGCGGCACACCCTGCCCGGCTCCCAGCTGGAGCCTGGCTGCAGCTGCGAGAAGTCGGAGGGAGCTCTGCTCCCAAACAGGGCACAGCTGCCCCCCCGAGTCTGGGGGTACCTGTCACCTACGTTATGTCACTTGCTGGGAGCTCACAGGTGAGCTGTGAGCAACAGAAGTTACTTTGTACTCCCACGTACTTTGCTTTATAGCTAAATTTGAGCTGAAGCGTTTTCATCTTTGATTTATGGGTTTATTTCAGACCGTGTTTTTAATGAGGTTTGTGTAACTGGAAAAGGAAAATATATACACAGTGTAATACAAGTTTATTTTAGCAAACATAAAGGATGGAAGTGTTTGTGCTTTCCGAGGCATGTTTAAGGACCGGCTCTTTCCTTTGTCACACACGTGACGCAATTGCTAGAGCCTCCCTCTGCAGCCTGCGAGCCGTGCAGCACCGAGACCCTTCGGTACAGCGTGATGGCGGAGAAACCAGAGGAAAACGAGCCTGCTGGGCCTCGGCGCAGGGCTGAGCCCTGCCCCGCCTGCCTTCCCCTGCCGCCATGCCTGCCGCACCTCCCCTCCTTCGGGGGGAAACGCGG